ATAAAATGCAGACGCCATTCTTTGCCGCACTCCAGAGGATGAGTTTGCAGAGTGAGGACTTCACTTTGAAGCTGTTTTATTCCCAAGGATTTGGCAAAAGCGGGGGAGTGCTCTGCGGTGGGCACGTCAGGCTTGGCCCCAGCTGGCCCAGCTGCTCTTCTTGCTCAACCTGCCAGGTGACATCACACACTTAGTCTGTCTGAACAACAGAACAGCAGGGCCGCCAGTCAGAAGGCACTCAGATGACTCAGGCAATGCAGTTATTTTAACTGATTATATAAATGATGCCTTAAAACCTCTGGTAATCAATGTTGATTGGAATCCTTAAATTGGGACTATTGTCAGGTCTGACAGAAGCAAGCATAATACCAAAGATATGCAAACACAGATCTAATGATCAGAAATGTTGATTCCTGTATCTTCCTGCCATATTTTGTGCTGATCAAATTGCCACTGGGCCCACTCTGGGGATAACAGGCGGCAATTTTAGAAACACCTGTTGGCTGAGTGGCATCTATTTGAAAGAAGTAACCTGCTCGATTGTCTGTTTTTTATTACTAAAGAGATGTTCTTCCTCTTCACTTAGCTTATGGATGATTTCTAAAGGCATCTATATCCATATACTCTTGAGAAAGTAGGCAAAATGATATTTTTAATTTATAAAATGAACTAAAGGCCTGGTGCACGAAATTCACCGGGGGGCAGGGGGCCTCCCTCAGCCTGGCCTGCACCCTCTCGCAGTCCGGGAGCCCTCAGGGGATGGCCGACTTTTGGCTTAGGCCAGCTTGTCTTGGGGAGCGGGCCTAAGCTGGCAGTCAGACATCCTTAGTGCTGCCTCAGAGGTGGGAGAGGCTCCGAATGGGATAGGCTCCCCCCACTACAGCTGCACTTGCCAGCCCTGAGCCCAGCTTATGGGTGAGCGACGCTCCCCCTGTGGGAGCGCACTGACCACCAGGTGGCAGCTCCTGCGTTGAGTGTCTGCCCCCTGGTGGTCAGTGTGCATTATAGTGACTGGTTGTTCTGCTGTTTGGTCAATTTGCATATTAGCCGTTTATTATATAGGATTACACAAATAGAGTATTACAATGTTAGCTAAAACTTTTACTGTTTATTTACCCTTCATATTTATTTCATAATTAACTTCCTCTGTAAGTATTTATTAGGTGTCTGCTAGATCAAGGCTTGCTGCTAGGTACTATGAGGGATGTAATCCCTGACTACTAAGGGGCTCCCCATTTTATGGGACAACATATGGACACACATGATACACATGGATGAGGTGTGGGGCAGGGAAGTTCTGGGTATGGTTTGAGAAAAGAAGCAGGTTTTCCCTTTTCAGTTCTGTCCCTGCAGCCTGGTTGATGTGACTGGAGCCCACCAGGTTCAGCATGGCAATAGCAGGTAGGACAAAAACAGGTCATTCCAGAATCAGCTTGTGAAGAATTGCTGAACTCTTTGCTTCATCAATTGATATTATTTTCTGTTTATGAAGCAGAGCATTTTGGCTTAAATTCCATACTCACCTTTTACAAGTTTAACTTCCCTCCTCACAAGATTCCTCATTTATTATATAGTCATAATAACTTTTTTCCTTAAAATATTATTTTGATATGTGAGGAATTACATGTGGATACTCTTTTCAAACTTCAGAATGCTTATGTAATATTAAATTCCCCATTATTTCATACCCTTCCCTCCTTTATTTGATAGTGGTAGCAATCTACAGCTCCATATTATCTTTCTTTTAAGCATCTTATTGTTTGCTGCTCAAGGTCACTTAATCTTAAGTGTATGATCATTTGCATTCTGAATTGCAACTCCTTCATTAGTTTCTATAACTGTTGAATTTAATAGGACATTGGGGAGGTGGATAGCACAGGCAAAAGGAAATTGGATTTTGAACCTTTTATTATGATGACATCCATTTGATGGTGTCCAAATGATTAGTGAAGGAAAGCTGCTGTCCTGATAACTTTCAGTGTGAAGTAAAGAATGAGACTTGGATTTGCTTATTAGTTTACTGTTTAGAAAAATAAAGGCCCCAATACTGGTATTCAGCTCATGTTTATTGAGCTCTTCCTGTGTACAAGACATTGTGAGCATTTAAGGAAGTAACAGTGTAAACACCCAGCACCTCCTCCATCGGAGCTAATGGCCAGGGTCTCCTCAATGCTAAAGAGAAACACGCGTGTGACTTTACAGACCCAAGCTCATTATTTTTTAACAATGTGTAGTTATACAGGCAAAGTGCTTTTTTTTCCTTTTATTTCCTCACAACTGGTGAATTAGGTGTTATCATAACCTCAGTTTTTAAAATGAGGAAAATTGAGGAGCACTAACTCAATTTTAAGGAAGTAAGCTGATGCCTCATGGACCCACGCCTCATTCCAGACCCCCAACTCCCCCACCCCGACCCCACCTGCCATAGTCAAGTTTCTTCTTTTGGGTTTTACTGATTGGCAACATACAGGATATAAGTGAAAGTTGTAAGTACTTACTTTTGAAAAAGCATGTGGAATTGAGAACTGAGTAAAGAAATACGGTATTTGTAAATTTGACATAACAACAAGACAGCTTATGTGAAACACTTTGTAAACTGTGAAGCCATATATATATATATATATATATATATATATATATATATATTGTTTGTTTGAATGAATGACTAGTGAGGACATGGCAAAGATTTGGAGTCTATGGCTTTTGGCTTATATGATAATGCAACAGTTCACAGCCAATACAGGGAGGTTGGTCAAGAGTACTGATAAAGTAGTCATTAAATAGTGTGGTTTGAGGATTAATCACTTTTTAAATGGTTACAAATTCGGTGAAGGTGTCCAATTCAGCATAGGGTGTTTACAAGTACACGACTAAATGGTATAGAGTTCTTTCTAAGGCTGTCATGCAGTCTAATTAATCAACGCTGGCTCCCTAGGTCTGCCATTCCACTGACCGGCCTGCAGTAAATGGCCTTCCTGCCTGCTGCATTTTTCCACCCAAACACTGCACAAATCAAGGACAAGGATACTTGAAATGCCTTTCATGGCAATATTCCTAAAAAGTCAGCTTCCTGAAGTTGTTTAAAATCAAAGTGTCACCATGAATGTCTCAGTACATTCATGAAGTCTGTAAAAATCTTACAAAATGGAAACTAAAGCAAGAATCCAAAGGCATTTGAGTTTTCTACATTAATTATTTTGGAAAGTGAAAATCAGATCATCTGTAACTGCTAATACTGCAATTCTGAAAATGAATGGCTTCTTGATTTAATGACTTCAAAATGATATAGTACACCTTCATGAAGTGCTAAACAACTCTAATTACACGTTTGAGAAAAGATCTTAGTATCTAAATTTAACTTATCGATTGAATGATTTATTAATCGTTAGTCACAGAGAGTCAATTTTTGGTGTATTAATGTCATTTTACAAATAAAGTCTGATTAAGATGGTTACTTATCCACATACTTTTGTCCTTTTTTTTTAATAAACAGTGTTTAAAGGCTTTAAAACAATGGGAGAAATGTTAGTGATGTGCTTAGAGCTACTTATTCTCTGCTTATGAGATAGGAAAAAGAGACATGTTTCTGCTTAATGAAAAAATGGTTACCAGTGGGAAACATCTTTGTAAATTTTAAAAATATGATAATCCAGCAGAAGATTTCTTTCTTTCATATTTTTAACCTCAAACTGATGTTTACATTTAATAACAGACAAATGCTGGACTTTAATAGTAAGTAAAATATATAAAATATGCTAGGTGGCCATTACTGACCAAGTTGGCTTCTATAGAGTGGCATTTAATAATGGCAGTGTGGTCTTTTAATATTTTCAGAAATTCTGAAAAATTGTATATTTTATAATAGGGTTATTATATTTATTGTACAAATCTAATTTAGCAAAATTGAGTATATTGTATAAAATGTTAATGAGATTAAGAAAAGATGTTACCTTTTATTATTTATAGTATTGCTTAATGAATTTCTAAAACTGAATTTAAATTAAATGTATATTCTGGTGAAATATTATGAAATAATTATAAAAGTCAAATATATGTAATACAAATATATGTAAGTTTAAGATGGATTTATCGCTAGTTCTGTTTTTAAAATTTAAACAAATGTGTTATCTGAGATCATACATTTGAGTATTTTATGCTTTAATCTTACTATTTTAAATTTTCATTAGGAAATTCTCCTAAATTTGTTAGTCACGAATTTAAAGAAAAATAAGAGAAGAAAGTGAAAATATAAGTGCAGAATCCCAATATGTAGTTGTGAATTTAGACATAAAAATTAGAAATATAAGTATTTTAATATCTGGATTTACTGAGTGGTATACATACTGTTGTGTATAATGTCAGAGAGTTTACCTGTTTACTTTATAAAAACAATGTGTCAACGTATTTTCTATTATTTATAACATAGCACAAGTTATTATTTTAATGTTTTTAAATGTTGACAGATTTACACATTGCTTATTTTTTTATGAAATCATAACTGACACTAGTTATAAAAATGTAAGTTAAAAAATCATAGTAGTACGAAACGCTAAGTCAGTGTGAAAATGATTCTGATACAAACTTAGAGGAAGGCTAGAAAAGAAATAATAGATCAACAGATATTTATTGAGAACTTATGATTTATGATGCATGCCAGTCCCTAGGAGTATGAAATATGAGATAGGCCTTTTAAGGGCATTCATCTTTTATTGACACGATCACCAGCCGAAGGGTAATTGTACAGAATGCAGTCATAACGCGGAAGGGAGATGTCTGCTCAGTTGCCATACTCAAAAAAAGGAGGAAGAGAGTGTCCTGAGGAACAAGACATATTTCTTTCATGTAGTGATCAGTAACATCTGTAAAGTATGTGTGGCCTAAGTGGCGCCATGGTACAATTCAAAATCATTTTTAAAATATCTCATATCAGATCCCACCGCTGCATTTCAAATGTGGGTTATTTTGAATAACATTCTCCTTTTTTTCTGATTTGTTTCCAGAATGCTCGGGCCCATTGGGAATTGAAGGTGGAATCATATCAAATCAGCAAATCACAGCTTCCTCGACCCACCGAGCTCTTTTTGGACTCCAGAAGTGGTATCCCTACTATGCTCGCCTTAATAAGAAGGGGCTTATAAATGCCTGGACAGCAGCAGAAAACGACAGATGGTCATGGATTCAGGTAACAGACGGGTTGGGATAAGGTTACTGCTAAAGAATGACCAGAGTCACTTCAGAGAGAACACGATGAGAGCCCAGGGTGACTTTTCTTCATGGTCACAGAGGAAAAGATAATTTACTTAAGAGTCTAAATGTCCAAACTGTGAAAACCTTACATTCCATTGATAAGAGGGTTAAAAATGTTAAATTTGTGGGTTATGAATTTCACTATTTTAAGGTACATATAAAAGAAAGGTTTTTTTGTGTTTTTTTTTTACAATACTGAAGGTGTTTTAATATATACTTTCATTTATTGTCATCAACCAGCTATTTTTCAAAATAGGAGAACACAATGATCAACTGAGGTAGTAAGTGATTTTCCAAAGATGGAATAGATGGTAGCAATTCCAGTTCCTTATATTAAATTCAGTTAAATGCTTTTTGGCCACTTAGCTGAAGTGAGACAGTAAATTACATATTAGGAGGACACAAAAGGTGCTCAAACCAGTTTTCTGTGAAAAGATCATTGCTCTGATGGAGGGAGGTGAGCACATTAATAATATCTAACAAGTCATTGATGAGTGCTAAATAGAAGGAAAATCCAGTACACAATGGAGTCAGGGAAAGAAGTAATTAATTATCATGAAAAGCTTCTTGGGAAAGATAGATTTTGAAGTCCGCCTCAGAAAAATGGCTTTCAATAGAGACTAGAAGCCAAGGGAATAGCATGCTCAGAGAGGTCAGGTGAGAATCTGGGGAACATCACAAAGAAAATCATGTTTTGTGTGTAGGCTGCTGGAGGGATGTGTTTACATGTAGTGTGGGAGTTTAATGTGCCTTAGGGTTTTTACATACTAAAAGGTTTGTCCTTGTTTCTTTGGAATAGGAAGCTATTACAGAATTATGATTTGTTTAGGTAGCTGATCTGTTTTATCTATTTACTACATATTTTGTGCCAAGGTAATTTTTAACACAGGATGCTTTGATATGAAATTATTAGGTGCAATGTATAGGGTTTGCTTTACATGCAGTTGATAGGAAGGAAAATTGATTTATGGCCAAATAACTTATTTTAGGAATAGGATCATAATCTCCTTCAGATGATTTCTTTGTTCAGGTTTCTTGTGAATTTTTACATATCCTATATACATTTATTTCATCCATATGACTCTATGTGGCTACCTGATATTTTTTGTTGTTTTATGAATTTATATTTGCATGCATTTGCAAAATTCCTTCTTACATTACACATTATTTTTCTAATCTATAGCCACATATGCAATGAGAATTCCAGATAAGGGAAATGGCACATCCTTATAGTTTTGATCCCAGACTAATGAATATCCCATCATAGTTTAAAATAGACCCTCGCCAACCCCCAAAAGTGCTTGCATTCTACTTACTAAAAATTAATCCAGAGACCATTTTTTTATTTGACTATTATGAAATGCATTAGTGGAATTTAGTTCATGATAAAACTTTAGAAATTAAGATTTAGAACAGAAATTGCAGGACAATTGACAGATGGTATCATCAGTTTGTATCAAGTTTTCTATTTAGATTATGTTTGTGAGCTTCAGTGTCTGCCATGTTTTCGATAAACTATAAATAACATACTTTTGCAGTGGTTTCTCTGAGAAACCCTGCATTAAAATTTCTGATATTCTGATGTTCTTATATTTCATTTTAGTTTGTTCCAGTTCATTGCTTACTTAACACTAATGCATCATTATGCCTTTCAAAGTATAAATGAACATTTTTTTAAGCCCATGATAATAGGTAAATAAATATAACTTGGTCAATTTATGTAAAATATTTAAATATTTCTTTTACTTTTAAGGGCAGTTTATTATGATTACTATTATTATAATTATTTTGCTATTAGTATGCAGATGATGAGGTCTTAAAGAATAACAGTAAAAGTAAATAAAAAGGGTTTCATATTGAATGAAGATATCTTGCAGATAATGGGAGGAAAATTGAAAGCTCACCATTGCTATTCATTAACTAGAGGCCCGGTGCATGAATTTGTGCACAGGTGGGGTCCCTCGGCCTGGCTGGTGATCGAAGCCAATCGGGATCGGCGGGCTGTGGGGAGGACCGCAGGAGGTTGGCTGTGGGACCGCACTGACCACCAGGGGGCATCTTCTGCATTGAGCATCTGCCCTTTGGTGGTCCCTGTGCATCATAGCTACTGGCCAGTCGTCCGGTCTTAACAGTTGCTTAGGCTTTTATATATATATATTTGTGATTGTGTTCAGAGTATATATTATATAATTATATTATTTAATAACTTACTTTCTAAGTTATTTTCTGAAAATATAAAAGGTTATCCCTTAAAAATAATCATATTTAAGGGGCTCTGGGAAGACAGATCATGTACCAAATTTTCTGTGTTGAACATTATTAATTTTCTTGTCATTTAATTTTTAATCAGTCCTTCAAATGAAACATTTGAGCACTTTGCTTAAACTCACTTAAAATGAGTATAGTAGTCCCTTAGTTTTTCAGGTGTATGACTCACATGCACTAATTAGTATTCAATTCCGTTTTATTCCTTGTCTTGATGAATAAAAATTGAAATTACCATTTTAATTTTAACACACTCAAAAAGCAATCATTGATGGCACCATAATGTTTATAGTTGGTTCTGGATGTAAAGGACTGATCTAGTGAATAAAGTTAAACAGAAATATCTTATTGTTTTCAAGTTTTTCTAATCTTTATTTCCTGAAATGATTTTTTTTCAACTAAGAAATCACCACCTTAAACACAAACTGGTTCATTAGATTATCAATTTCTCTTTCTGACTGACATGTTAGAAATAGCAACTTTGTACAATTATGGAAATACTAGAGGCACGGTGCATGAAATTCATGCATTCGGGGCTGGGGGGGGGGGTCCCTCAGCCCAAATTGCAAGAGGGCACAGGCCAGACCAAGGGACCTCACCAGTGCAAGATCGGGGCTGAGGAGAGATGAGGTAGGTTGGCCAGCCAGGGAGGGACCACAGGAGGGCTCCAGGGCATGTCCGGCCCATCTCGCTCAGTCCCAATTGGCCAGACCCCAGCAGCAAGCTAACCTACCGGTCAGAGTGTCTGCCACGGAGGTGGGAGAAGCTCCTGCCACCACCACTGTGCTGGCCAGCCATGAGCCAGCTTCTGGCTGAGTGGTACTCCCCATATGGAAGTGCACTGACCACCAGCGGGCAGCTCCTGCATTGAACGTCTGCCCCCTGGTGGCCAGTGCGCATCATAGCAACTGGTCATTCTGCCATTCAGTCAATGTGCATATATTAGCCTTTTATTATTATTATATAGGATGTCCCTATTTCCTCCCCTTAGCCCCCTCTACCCAGCTCTTGCCCCCCACTTCTCTCTGGCCATCACCATACTGTTGTCTGTGTCTGTCCATAGGTTGTGCATATATTTTCTTTGACTAATCCCTTCTTTAAATTCACTTCTTTAAATTTTTATTTTCAGATAAGTGCTTATAACTGCACTATTATATATTTTTTATTATATCATTTAGAATTAAGATATTTTTTAATTGAGCCCTTGTAAATTTTAGCACAATTTAATAAATTATGCTAGAAGCAATTAGGAGATTCTTCATGTGATGCAGATACATTTAAATTAATATTTTATTAATTTTTAATTTTTTAATATTTTAATTTGAAATAATCTCATACATGTAAAAAAACTATAAAATACTACAGCATATTATATGTTCCCTTCACCCAATTTCTTAGGTGTTAATAATTTAAACATAGCCATTATACAACTAACAGAATTTGGAATATATTTTTCTTATAATCTCTTTAATGTTACTTAATCCATTTACTTTGTTTTTGTTAATCTTCACCCAAGGATATTTTCCATTGAATTTTAGAGAGAGTGAAGGGAAAGGGAGAGACACATTGATTGGTTGCCTCCTACACATGCATTGATAGGGACTGGGGATCAAGCCAGCAACTGAGGTACATGCCCTTGACTGGAATCGAACCTGGGACCCTTCAGTCCACGGGCTAATGCTCTATCCACTGAGCAAAACAGGCTGCAGCTTAATTTATTTACTTTTAATTTATATGTGTCTTTATATTTAAAGTGGGTTTTGTTTTTGATTCACCCTCATAATCTGTCCTTTAATTGGTGCATTTATGCCACTGACTTTCAGAGTGCTTACTGATAGAGTTACTACCATATCAGGCGGCTTCTGGGTCTTCTGGTTCCCGCCCTGCCTTGCCTTTTTTTTTTCTTTTTTTCTAAGACATTTTACTTTATTTAAAAGAAGCCAATATACAGGATATAAAGGGTATGATATTTACAATAGTACAGTAAAGAGGTTGGTTTCCCGGTAGGATCAGTAGTCTTTCAGTGAGTATTAACCCCCCTTCCCCTTGATGCTCGACCCAGTTGGCAAAAAAACAGCAACAGTGGGGTGGGATGGGACTGCAGGATAGAACGTCTCCCTGAAGGGATTAAAAATCACGTAGATGCTAAAATGTCCACAAAGGGGTCTTGGGGGTGAGGGGTGCCTCTGCCTCATTCCTTTGAGGACTTGGCAGCAGGAATGCTGAGGGATTTGCCTCAAATTAACACTCGGCCCACCCTGAGCCTGTAAATCTTTCACCCATGGAATATTCCGTTCCCTAGAGAATCAGCCCTAATCCCTCAGCCAGGGCCTGGAGGAGCAGCCCAGGCCGTGGGCACAACCAGGACTGTGGACATTTCATAGCCTTTCCACTCCCACTCCAGCTGCCTAACAACTCTGCATTGCTCCCCTCGCCCACCTCCCCCGTCACCCCATCAGGACGCCGTACACAGCAGGGGACACTGGTTTTCCCATGCACATTGGGAACTGGCTGTTTCTGTTTTCTGGAGTAAAAAGGTTCCTGTGGGTTAGATAAGGTCTCTGCTTGGCAGAAAGTTCTGAAACAGAGCCACTGACCACACCCACCTCCTCTGGGCATGGAGCAGCTCCGGCCCTCAGAGCTCATCTCTCCAGCAGAACTGAAGGGAAA